AGAGAAATTTACTATATTATATAGAAGAAAACCTACATATAATAAGTCTTTTACTAGTACTTTTTTAGATAGACTATTAGATTATTAGTTACTATTACGTTCTTTATTATATAGCGTAGCTATACCTTAGATATCTTTTACTTAGATATAGTAGTCTTTTAATATAGTTTTTTAATATAGCCTTTTAGTATAGTCTTTTAGTATATTCTACTTATCTTTTACTAGAACGTAGAAGCCTTTTACTAAAGTATTATACTATATAGTATTATTTAAAGCTTTTTTATAGCTTATTATAATATTATTATATAGCTTAATACTATAATTTAGAAGTCTTTTACTAGTAGAGTAGAGTCTTTTACTATATACTATACTATTTTAAGTCTAGTGTAGAATAAACGCTTTAACTAGTTTTTATAGTCTTTAGGTATAGAAGTTAGAATTCTAATATAGTTAGTGTTAGTGTTAATCTTATATATATAATATATTAATAAATAGAAATAGAGATTATATAGTAGTAGAAGATATAATAGTATATATTTTAATTTATACTTTAGTAGTAGCTTCTATTTTAAGAGGCTAGTAGATAGTATATACTACTAGCGTAATTATTCTATACTACACTAGTAGAATAAGAACTAAGTTACTAGATAATCTAAAAAGTTTTTTTAGATTACTCTTTTACTATACTTTATATAGTATAGCGTATTTAATACTAAAGAAAAATATTTATATTATAACTTATTTAAAAAGTAGCGTATACTACTAGTGTAATTATTTTATACTATACTAGTAAAATAAGAACTAAGTTACTAAGTAACTTAAAAAGACTTTTTAGATTACTTTCTTACTATACTTTATATAGTATAGCGTGTTTAATACTTAAGAAAAATATTTTTATTATAATATATTTAGAAAGTAGCGCGTACTACTAGCGTAATTATTCTATACTATATTAGTAGAATAAGAACTAAGTTACTAGATAACCTAAAAAGTCTTTTTAGATTACTTTCTTACTATACTTTATATAGTATAGCGTATTTAATACTAAAGAAAAAAATTCTTATTATAATATATTTAGTTATATAATTAAATTTTTATTACTTATAGATTAGCTCTTTACTATATATATATTTCTTAAATATAATTATAGTTAAGATATAAGTTAGTATTAAAGTATATTATAATAAATCTAAAAAAACTTTTTTAGAAGTAGTATTATATAGCATAATATATTAGTAGATAATAGTTAGGTAGTATTTAGAACGCGTGTAGATACTACTAAAATAGCCTTTTTAGTTACTTCTCTACTAAGTAAGTATAGATTATACTATAATTAGTTATAATTCTATAAGTATAGTTTAGAGTTTTAATTTATATTAATATTTATTATAATAGTTTATATCTACTTTATAGAGCGTTTCTAGGTACTATAAGAGTTATTAGATATATAGACTTTTTTTTATTTAGTTAGATAATTACTTATAAAGATTTAGCACTAATAATATTATTAGTTATATCTATTAGATTACTTAGAATACTTTATTAGAATCTTTATAGTATAAGCTTTTAGTTAGAAATATAAAAAAGTAGTGTATATATATACTCTATATATCTACTACTAATCTAATTTATAATACTTATATTAAAAGCTTACTTATTATATATAAGATATATATATAGATTTTTTAGATTAGAGTATATTTCTAACTATAGAATTTAATACTAGTAAAGTAAAAATAATCTTTTTATAAGCCTATATACTAAGCTATTCTTAGATACTATATAGTAGTATTTAAAGCTTAAAAAGCTTTATACTTATACTTATCTCTATATATTACTTTATAAGCTACTTAGAAAACCTATATAATCTTTTTACTATTATTTATAAAGAACTAAATCTATTTTTTTTTCTTAAGCTTTAAAATCTTAGTCTAAATATAAATCTCTACTTTTATAATTCTATTATTAGTAAAATAGTATATATTATATATAAAGTTTAGAGTTCTATATCTATCTATATTATCTAAAAGTAGTAGTACTACGTATACTATAACTTTCTTATTAAGTAAAAGATATATTATTATATAATAAAGAAAGAAATAGATAGAAAGCTCTAGTTTATAAAGGTTATATTTAATCTTATTCTTTAGTAAAATCTATTCTAGAACTAAAGATAAGAGAACTAAACGTGTTAGATAGATTACTTTATTAAAATTAAGAGTAAAGTTTATAGTATAGTAACTATTCTAAAGTAGTAATATCTTTATAGCTACTAGTAGAAGTAGACTAGTTATAGTTTTAGCTTATAAGATTAGAGAGAATTTACTACTTCTATAATTAGGTAAAGAAGCTAAAGTATAGAAAAAATAGTTTTATAGATAAGTAGGTTCTAATTCTTTATTTTTATAGCTTAGTGCTATTTATATAGATAATAGATACTATTTAAAAAGTTATTACTTAAGAATATACTTAAATTCTAAGTAGATCTATAGTAATATATAATATAGTGTAAGATCTAACTTCTATATAGAGTATATAACTATTTTCTTATTAATAATTTCTAAGCTAAAAGAGTAATTATTAAGTAGTAATAGCTCTAGCACTACTTAAGTATTTAGTTTAATTAGAAAGTAAAACTTATATATACTATTCTAGAGTTCTAGAAAGAGTTTATAAATATAATAGATAAAGTAGTATAAATTATTTAGATTATTAGGTTCTTTCTTAAAATAATATAAGTAGATTATATTCTTAGTAATAGTAATTACCTTTATATAAGAACGCTTATTACCTAGATCTAGTAGATATAATATTTCTACTATTATTTCTACTTTAGTAGAAGATAGTTAGTTTAATATAGTAAAGTCTAATATTATTAAACTTCTAACTACTAGTAATTTAGCTATATATTAGTATTAGAGTCTAAGATAATCTTTAGTCTTATAATTAACTTACTATATACTTAATAAATAGTAAGGTAAAAAGAAAAAAGAAAAAAAAATAAAGATACTAAAGTATAAGTAATAGTCTATAAGATACGCTAGTGTTACTTAGAAAGTAAGATAAAGTAAAATAAAGTAAAAGAGAAAGTAAAAGAAAGTATATAAAAGAAAGTAAAAAGTAAAAGAGTATAGAAAGTAAAAAAGTATAAAAGATAAGAAAGTATAAAAAGTAAAAAAGTATAAAAGATAAGAAAGTATAAAAGATAAAAAAGTATAAAAGATAAAAGAGTGTATAAGATAAAAAGTATATAAAGTAGAAAAAGACGTAAAGTATATAAGTAAAAAGTATTAGATATAATCTACTTTAGAATTAGCGTATATAAAGCGTATAGATATATAGTAGCTAAACTACTATAAAGTATATAATACTATAAGAGTATATAAAGTCTAATTTCTAAAGATATAAAAGTAATATAATTTTAATTATAATTCTTTTAGTACTATACACTTTACTATATAATAATATTAGTAGCTTTATCTATAAGCTAAATATTTAGTTTATTAAAGTATTAGAAATAATCTACTTTAGAATTAGCGCGTATAAAGCGTATAGATATATTATAGCTATACTACTATATTACGTATAATAAAGTAATAGTACGTAGATAGTAAATTCTAAAAAGATAGAAGTAATATAATTTTAATTATAATTCTTTTAGTACTAGGTATATAGATAAGTAATTATAGTAGTAGTAGAAATCTATTTAAGAAAGTAACTAGAAAGGTCTTTTTTATTTATAGTAGATCTAACTCTCTAGATCTCTTACTATATTATAGCTTCTAGAGCTAGTATAATAAATATACTTATAGATATAATATATATATAGTATATATAGTATTAACTCTAAAGTAAGATTCTAAATCTATTTATAATTATTATAACTTATAATAATCTACTACTATAGCTAGCTACTAATACTATAATATTAATATAGATATATATTAAGATTCTATAGTATAGTTATATACTACTTATAAATAAGTATTCTATACTTATATAAATAGTATATTATATTTTTAATTATATTAAGTAATATAGATAGATTATATAGATAGTGTATAGTTATTATAGTAGTTAATATTTCTTAGATAGCTAGTATATTAGATAGTTATATAATCTATAAAAACTTTATATTTTCTATAGCTTAATATAATATATAATAGTAGATAATTATTAGTATTATTATCTAAAAGATATATTCTAATAGTAAAAAGTTAATCTATAGTATAAAAATAATAGAATTTAAATAGTAATATCTATAAAAATACTAAATAAAAATACTTTTAGATTTTACTATTCTAGATTAGTAAGCTCTAACGCTTAGCTTAGTTTAGCGTAAGAATATATATTCTTATTACTTTATATTAGTTAGATATAGAAATCTACGTATAGACTATATAACCTAAATAGACTCTATTTAGATTTCTAACTATAGTAAGAGTAGAGGTAGTTTTAGTAAAGTTTTAGTATAAGTAGACTATAAAGCCTACTAGACTATAGAGTATATACCTATATTAGTACTTACTTTTATACTTATAGTCTAAAGTATAATATATTCTATTCTATATTAAATAGTACTACTATACGTTATACACGCTAACCTTTACGCACTTTACCTTCTCTTCTACTCTTTTCTTCTATACTTTCTTCTTACGTCTTTGTTCTACATCTTTCTTACGCGCTGTCTTCTGCGATTCTCTTCTTCGCGTACCTCTCTTTTTGTGCGCCTTGTTCTGAACTCTTATACGTTTTTGCGCGATGTAGGGCAGTAATAGTGTGTAGAGCAGCACTCTCTAAACTGGTCTTCGCTCTGGTCGCGATGCGCTTTCTGAGACTGGTCGCCTTGCGCGCGATGGCCTAAACTTCGTGCGCCTGGCTCGCCGCGCGCAATAACGCTGACGTGCGCATTGTGGTAATCTGTCTTGAGCCGATCCGCTCTGTGCCTGTGGATCTGGTGGCCTGACGATGTCTGGCAGAACTGCGCGACATGAAATTCATCACCCGTCCGCAATCTCGACCGTCGCATACAGATGCGGTTCTTCCGAGTTCTTGTTCTTTCGAATCCATCTCACGACCATCTTCCAGCGCTTCTCTAGTGCACCTTGATCAAGACTGACGTAGTATGCTTCATCCTCGGGACCATCCTCGTCCGCTCTCAACCACACCGCCAGTCTCTGCCTGTCCAGGTTGTCACCGCGCTTCCGGTCTATGGCCATACATTGAAAGGCTTGGAAGAACTGCTCTCCCGAACCGCTGATATCGACTGACATGCTGATCGGCATTCTGCCCCAGTAACCTTCAATTTCGAGCTCGTCGCTCGGATCACCTTGGCTTGGGATTGGTATAGGTGCGTCACTCTGCGGACTGTAGTTCGCGGGCGCTGATGGTGCAACTTGGGCGGGTGGCTCGGATCCTCGCATGCGTTGTACTTCGTGCATTGCACCGACGCGCCCGAATGCCCGTTGAACTTCGGGAGACGGTGGCTGATACTGGTGTTGATATGGATGTATCGGCGCAGTCGGCGCTTGCGGCGGAACTGCTTGATCGTATTCGTCCACGGTGACGAAGCCTGGTGGGTAGCGACCTTGCGGGGAATGCGCTTCTTGAACCTCTGTTGTCGCGACAGACAAGATCAGCCTGGCTGCGCGGACACTGATCGGAACGTGTGGGACTGACCTGAGGGGAATTGGCGCTCCATGGACTCCTCAGATCCCAAAACGACATCGCTATCGAGCAGTCTTGCTGACACGACGTAGAATGTATCCATATTGGTTTTGAACTCATTGCGACGGCGCCATGTGAGATTCACGGCGGCCTTGACAGCCACCCACTTCGCGGCTCCAGCAGATGTGTGTACGAGTATTGACTCGTCCACCTCGAATTGACCGGCACTGAGGCCGCGGCCGTACGCCACTCCATCGCCAATCAGATTGTATCTCCCTGGCGCACGTCTTGCTATGACTGGCTGATCCGCTCCATCGTCGTCGCATGAGAGAAAAGATATCTTTTCCATGCCGGCGGCCGCAAGACCGGAAGTGGCCGATTTGACTGAGCCCGCGCTGGTGGGTGGAGTTTGCATGATGTGCCTGGCATTCTGAATATTGTGCCGTGCCGACGCTTGCTGTAGAGACGAGTTGCGATGATGTGCGCGTGGCGGTAAAGCTTCGTACTGCTGTCCAGATGGCGCCTCGGGAAGTCGTTGCGGTTGGTGCTGCCCTATATAACGCTCCGCCGCTGCGCATTTCTCTTCATCCTGAAGGTAGATCATCAGGAGCTCGGCCGCCTTAGAAGGATGGTCCCTGAGAAGCTGTTGCACCAAGTCGTAGGTGTTACCCATCGTGCGCGAACCGAGGCGATTCCGTCGCAATCAGCCTTGTAGGCGCGCGCAACTTCAAGATGCGCCCGACAGCGCTGGGGTGGGCGCGTAGCCAGAGAGGCGCTCTACTTCGAGGCCATGATGCGCGAAGAGCTCGCGAGGCTGATCTTGTGTGTGTAATCTGTTTCCGTGGAATTGCAATGTGGGTTGTACATCGAACTGTTCGCGTGGGCGCTGCTGCACGTTGGAAAGATGAAGTGGGGCAGATCTCCAGCTTGCGCATCATCAACGCGACCGGAAGTGGCAGGGGCGTCGCTCGTGCCTGTTACGCGCTATGCCTGTCTCAATTCACCGGTAGCGACCCGGCAAATCATTTAAAGGGTGGAACCACCCACGTGATAGCGTATCCCCGCGATTACGCGCATGCGTGTTGGGCGACCTGTAGGGTCTCTCAAATTGCCACATCCCGCGTTCGTTGCGGACATGAACCGGATGCGCCCCCGGGACTCGCAAAGCTGGCCGCCCTCAGCCCAGCCCGTCGTTTTGCCCTCTTCCCTTCTGCTCTGCACTCTCGCTTCGAACTATGAGCAGCTTCTACAGAAGTGATGTCGGCCGTACCATTCGCGACTCCAGAGGCGAGGATGGATCAGCGATGTCTGTGTTAGAGAGTGCTGGAGGCGCAAAGCGAGTGACGCATCAGTCAGCAGTTGTTGGGAACAAGGCCTTCGACAACACGCTGCAAATCAACGGACACGTCGCAGATAAGGTCAACAGCTATTATATGTGAGTGCCTTTCGTGCCAATTTGTGGGACTCGCTGACAAAGAATCAGAAAGTACGCTGTCTTCTCTTGTCATGGCGATTTCGCAAAGGCTATGGCGAGCATAGCGTCGGGTAGTGCGTTACCCATCTCAGCGTCAGGACAGGCGCGTCTGTCAGAACCGGTAGAACGTCCCAATCACTTGAACATTGTGAGTCAACACACTGGTCGCGGGTATGCCGTCACTGACAATGCGCAAGGTCTCTCGTGCAGAGATCAAACCGTTGCTGAAAGCGATGCGAAAGGTTCCAGTCGTCTCTAAATTGAGCGAGAAACCTAACGCTATCTGCGTCATCTCTCCGCGACAAGTCCAGGACAACTTCATCTCTTCCAAGGTCGTTGATCGTCTTGAACTCACTACCCGCTCCGATAATGCGATGGTAAAGTCCATCGTATGGGACTCGAAGCGTTTCGTTTCTACCGGTGGCTTCGTGGATCTCTCGTTTCCCGTGCCTGGTAGCGATGCTTGCGTCGCGCGACGTCTTTACGTTCTGGACGACCCACCCTTTGACACGCTTCTCGGGAACCTTGCAATGCGCTTCTCCTCTATACACAGTCAGAAGACTCTGCTCAAATAGTACCAGACACATGTCAAATCTAGCTTAGTGGACACTAGTAAAGAGGAATTACCGGGTGCGTTATGTTTGTTATACCCATCTTTCTTTCGATTCTGTAGTCTTCTTAGTAAATGTCACTATCAAACTATCAGTTCTAGCAGTTCTTCCACAGTACCATGTCGCGAGAGTGGTTGGAGACTTGCAATCAAGACACTCTTCGCAACACTAGGGTCTGCAACAGCATCATGATCCCGACTCTAGTCCAGTCGCGACGGCGAATTGTGATGACCTGTCTTGGGCGAGGCCTTGCAACTTCTAGGTTCTTACCATGTCTATGCGACCAGATACTCTCGGGTGGAGAGTTCCGCGGATGGAAGACTCAGTACCGATAAGCAGGACAGAGGGGTTTCGAAATCATCTTTGGCGAGAAGCATATGAATCGTGCGTCGCGGCAATGTACCCTGCTCTCTACTTTCCGATAACACTACCTACAAGTTCCGCAACAGCAATCATCTTCTCCTCCTGCAGTCTCCGTCCAACAAGCTGCACACTAACATGCGCACCGTTATAAATCTCAGGGTCATCTGTACTCGTGTTAGCACTCCAGTTTCTTTACTATTCGCTATTCCTCCGCTCCCCACGCGCGACAAAGACAACCCAACGAACTTCCACGCGAGGCAACAACAACTCCACAAACTCAGAAATTTCCGCGCGCACTTACAATCATCCTGAATCCCCCCATCTATCTCATCAAGCGCCTTGTACCCCTCCTCCTTCACATCAACCTTCTTATCCACAGTCGCAACCGGCACAATGACACTCGTATAATCCAACGCATTAACCCAAGTCGAATAACCATAATACTTGAACCTGCAGGAGTAGAGGTAGAAGTCAGTATATGTCTCACATGCACTTCGTCCAGTCAAAACTTACTTCTCCCTCCTCGCCGCCGGAAAAGGCGCAAGCGGACAAATCACCGCGTCGACAGGCCTACCTGTACTCGTTTTATCCACAGTACCATTCCAATACTCCATATACTCCTTCTTCAAGGCCCTCAACTCCACATTCGTAGCCGCGATATCCGTAGCCGAAAACTCTTTCTCGACGCCTTGGTAAAACGTAACTTGCGGAGCCATGGGTTCGCCCGAAAGCGCAAACGCGGATTTAACGTCTTTACCCGCGTCGTAGATCCAGGGGCGGAAACCGACGTCGTTGATGGTGCGATGAGATGGTGGTGTCCAGTCTATGACTTCATGACCAGCAGAACGCAGGGCTTCAACAACAGTTTCAATAGCGCGGCGGACGGGGGGCGTGGGGTTCACAACACCATCCGTCATTAACAGACCGAAGGAGAGTTTCTTTGCGGACTTCACCTTGGCTTCTTGGCCCGGGCGCCATGGGATCTCGTGGACGAGCGGGTCGTGGAGCCATGGGTTTTGTTCGAGCAGGGCTTGACAGGCGAGGCGCAGGGAGGCTGCGTTTGTGGCGAGGGGTCCGACGACGGAGAGGACGGTGTTTTGGCCGTCCATGGAGTTTGCCATGCCTTCGTATGGGAGGCGGCCTGTGGATGGGCGGATGCCGTAGAGGCCGTTGAAGGCGGCGGGGATGCGGATGGAGCCGCCGATGTCAGTACCGAATCCTAATGGCGCTGTTCAATGTCAGCGACCCACGATCTCTTCGTTTGAAACGCGAACGCTCATGGCGATTGCCATAACTCAGACGGTAGTCCACTTACATCCTCTCATACCGATCAACGCGCCCTCGCCGCCGGAGCTACCACCAGCCGTCAGATTCCTGTTCTTCGGGTTAAGCGTAAACCCAACGATGTTGTTAATCGTCTCCCCGCTCATCAGCGTATGCGGCACGCTGGTCTTGCAGTACAACACAGCTCCCGCCTTACGCAGCATCTTCACCATCTCACTCTCGAACACCTTCTCTTTTCCAGTACCCTTCTTGCCTTCGAAGGTGCCAATCCAGCCGACATAGCCCATGCTGGTCTCGACATCCTTGACATGGAATTGGTCTTTAAGTGAGATGGGTACGCCATGGAGGGGACCGGTGGTCTTTTTGTGTTTTGCGTAGTACTCGTCGAGCTCTTTTGCATCCCGGATGGCGGCATCGAAGAAGATCTCGTGAAGACATGACAGCTGTCCATTTAGCATCATTCACTGCACGTATCGGATGTGCGACGTACCAATTGATGCGCAACTGCAGCTCGGTGACAGAATGCCCTCGTGACCTCTTCAGCAGTCCACTTTCCCTCAGCCACAGTCTTTGCGATCACATCGGCACTGCTTTCAGTAATGTCGAGCTCTTGCTTGCTGAAGTACTGCTTCACATAGTCTGTGACATCGACCTGTTCTTCTACCGATGGCAACTTCTCTAGTCGCCATTCCGAGGGTATGGCTGCCGAGATAGCTTCGCGCTTCTTCCTAGCGGTCTCTTCCCACGATGATGTCGTCATGATGTCGATTTGAGCTGATGGCAGAGAAATAGGCAGTTAATCGCAAGGATTTGGTGTTTGGGGGGAGGTATTGCAGCAAGTTGGGCACGAGAGCGGTTCCGGAGTTAAGATAGGTATGCAGCCGCGGGAATGACGTTAGGGGTGGACGGCCGTTGATAGCTTCGAAGCTACGCAACGGCCAAGTGGGGTAGCTATCGAGCATTTGTTCTAAGCACCTTCCACATTAGCGTAGCTTCACATTTCATGACATGTCTCGGTAGGTTAATGCAGGGTATTGTCCTGCCGATGCGGATATCGCAGAGGGTGAACGTGAGGGGCAGCCTGAGGCGGGGGTTGGAGCGATCGCTGGGTCATAGATACGATGTTCAGCCGACCAGCTCCACCTCGGCAATCGGGGTAACTCCAAATAGTTCTCGTCCATACTCCACGCAAGACAACAAATCTTAGTGTATTTCGTGATTCAACGACTTCTTTCGCTACGTAGGTATCTGGGATGAAGGCAACAAGGAGAGCTGATAACGAACTCAAAGAAGAACGCCAGGCCATGCGAAAGCAAGCAAGGTGCTAAATGCCGACCGCTCGAAAAGGAGTTGAAGAATGTCGCTAGACTATAAATGAAAAGAGGTGTCACAGTCTACGTGGTCGGGGTTGTGGTATCTCAGGAACGACTTATACGGTCTCGACGTAGTTACTGTGGCGGTCAGTGGAGTGTTCATGATGGCATGGCCTGTGCGACTTACCTTGGGAAGATGCCCTCTCGGCTTCCGACTCTGCCCGTCCACCAGTCTGTCTCGTTATCCGTCCTCTTCAGGATTGTGATGATCTCGCCCTTCTTAAAGCCGAGATCGCCCGGCTGGTCCGCGTCAAAGGTGAACTTGGCAATTGCCTGGTCGGACTGCAGTCCTGCCTTCTTCTGCCCCGTAGTCTGTCCAAATACTGGCTTCGGCGCCGTCGGTCGGCCAGGCTTGCGGTCGCTGTACGAGTAGTCGTCGCCGAACGTGGAGGAGCGGCTTCGGTTGTCCATGCGGTCGAAGGTCTCGGTGGGGTTCGCACGCGTGGAGAAGGAGCGGTTGAGGCCGCCGGGTGCCGAGGATGGCTGTCGGTCGTATACGTCGTCCGCCCACGTAGATGAGTGCTGCGGTCGGTCTCTGTACTCGTAGTCATTGGGTGCCTGGCCCATGGAGCCAGTGCGGTCACGGCGCACGCCTTCGCCCATGGCCGAGCCCTCGCGGCCCTGCCATACTACGTTGTCGCGCGAGTTGTCGTAGACGGGGATGTCGTTGTACATGGCGTCGTTGGTAACGTTCTGCGCACCTCCTACGCCGGCAAAGACTCTCGAATTGAGCACTTGCAGGAGTGGCGCGGCGGCTGGTGGTGGGGGAACCTGTCCGCTGAGGATCTCGCGGGCAGTCCATCGGCGGCCGTACAGCTTCTCGTTGGCATCTCTCCGCTCGATGATGCCGCTTCCCTCCAGACTGACACCGGCGAACAGTCCCTTTGTCTTGCTGTAGCTGAAAATACCAGCCACGCCCTTCAGACTCGCCGCGCCGGCAGCCTCGGCATTACGACCGACGGGCCCCGCCGCGATGGAGACATTGCCGCCCAATGTCAGCGAGCCGGCCTGCGCAAACGTACGGACGGCGGAGGCGTCGTTGAGAATGAAGACGAAGTCGGTGAGCTCAAAGCCAATCTGTCCGCCGAAGCCGCCGCCGATGGTTCCGATGGCCGTGGGAGCCGACCACGACCCGTCTGCGAGGCGGGCGACGACGACGCCGGATCCGAATCGCGCTGTGCCGAGGAAGCCGGCCTTGAAGACTGTGAGGATTGCGAGGCCCTGGGTTGTGTCAGCATCTCATCATGTGTTGTTGTCTGCTGTGGTGTTTGCTTGGGCAGCTTCGTGACACCGGATGCGCATCGAGTCCTTACCTTTGCATTGGCGAGGACATTGGGCGGGATAATCTTATCGGGCCCAAAGGCCTGTCTGGGGTCGACAAAGGATGCTAGAATCTTTCCTGTCTTGCGACATTCGCCTGCGAGCACAGCTGTTAGCGACGTCACCGGACCGCGAGCCGCGCCTAAACAAAGCGGGCGGCATGTGACTTGACTTACTGCTCATGGACGAGGGCAGCGGGTTGTTGAGACTGAAACCCATCTTGGCGCGCGTGTGGGGGAGAGAGATGAGGTAGTTGGGGTATTAGGGCGGAGAAAAGAGCGGCTGCGTTGCTTATGCCTGCGCTGCCGATGGCGATGGGCAGGAAGCATGGCGGGCGGCCGAGGCGGGGATTATGTCATTGCTTATGGCTGTGTCTGCCACCCGACGCGTCCGCCCTTGGCAACACCTTGATCAAGAACACGACACGACACGACACGACATTGACAACATCGCCACATCTCACGGGGATGCATTCACTCACTTCACAGACTTTCCATCGTCGCTGCCGCTGTCGCATGAGCCATTGATCTACCATGACGCGTTCCGCTCACGCCAAGCTGAACTTCATAGGAATTGGTCGCCTCTTCACTCAGCAACCGTCACTCATCAACTCGCACCCAGTGCCCAGCAAATGAATCATCTGCGTCCACGTATACAGTGTGGCACGTTGGACATGCTGCGCCACTAACTCTGCTTTCGCATTTCTTACCCTCATCCAGCCTGTCCGTCGCACTCAAACGTCGCTAACCCCGCATCGTCACGGACACCCGTGAGAGGAAGGAGCGATGGGTGGACTCTTTGCGGCTCGCGTCAGGTATCGCTTTCACTCAACCCTGCACTCTTCTAGCGTCTACGTTCTTGCCGCCGAGACTTCAACTTGGGCGCATTGTATCTGGTCACGTGCTCTGCCTATCGCTGTCCATGGGTATCTACAGCATGTAGTCAATATGGTGTTGAGCGCACACAAGACCACGACTTTTACAAGCTAGAATCGCCTTTCGAACCACATTGAACAAGGAGTACGTCTGGCATGCGTCGCCTTTGACTCTCGCGACTGGTAAGACGAGATGCGGCAGATTCAGCGAGACACTTTGAGTCACCTTCAAGTCAAGCGAGACTGTCTTGGAATCTTCCGCCCATGCAAAACGCATGGTAGACTCATAGACGCAGAAACTGCGTATGCGACCCACAAACAATACGGTACTCACAGAAGCTACAGCATCTTGATTACTACTCTTCTCGGGCACTAAACCCGATTTTGCTAACTCCCTCACCACGCGCTACCGCGAAGGATCAGTTGGTACAGTTATAGTAGCGCATTACAAATTTGTGACTCGAAGCGAAAAGTCAGCACTGCATAGGCACGCCCTGGCGTTCATCTTTGCGCCCTACATGTTAACCAGATGACGTAGACAAATACCGCGATCCTCTCGCTTTGACATCGACATAAAAGAACGCGCCTGGCGCTACCCGTGCAACACGACAAGACCGACACAAAATGTCAACAACCCAAACCGTATTCGCCCTGCGGGACCTCTCCTCACCAGCAGACTCCCAAGTCCACCTCAACCCCAGCAAACCCTCCTTTCCACCCTCGCAAGAACCTGACTCAACCGGCCTTGGAGACTCCGAGCAGCCACCTGCCGATGCAGCAGAGGCCATCCCGGACGGCGGCTACGGCTGGACCGTCGTCGCATCCTGCTCCTTCCTCCTCTTCTGGATCAACGGCTACACAACCGCGTGGGGCGTCCTCCAAACCGCCATCTTGAAATCGCCCGCTCTAAACACCAATCTACGCACCATCACTTTCGTCGGCAGTTTGTACATGGCTGTCATGGTTGCTTTTGGCATCGGCGGGATAAGAGTTATGAGGTCTTTCGGTGTGCGATACACTGGCCTTGCTGCGACGATTCTTTTTGGAATGAGTCTGGTTGCTACGAGTTTTACCTTGGATCATCTGGGCGGGTTGTTCTGCATTGCGGGGCTGTCGATGGGCGTGGGGACGTCGCTGTTGTATGCGGCCACTAATAGTCTGCCGTTGCAGTGGTTCAGCTCTAAGCTGGGTATTGCCAATGGCGTCGTCAAGGCTGGTGGTGGTGTTGGCGCGACGGTCCTTCCGCTTGCTTCGCAGGCACTTATCGACAAGTTTGGACTGCAGTGGACGTTTCGCATCTTGGGCATCCTTATTATGGCGACTGGGATTCCGTGTACATTGGCGTTGAAGGAACGCGCGACGACTGGCACGCTTTCGCGGTTCGATTGGTCGCTGTTGAAGAACGTCCCTTTCCTCACGCTGACCATGGCCGGTGCAGTCGGCGTCTTTGCACTCTTCGTACCGCCCTTCTTCCTACCGCTGTTTGCGAGCTCGATTGGTTTGTCAGCCGGAACTGGTGCAGGGTTAGTTGGTGGATTCGGTGCCGCAACAGCAGTCGGTCGTATCCTAGGCGGATGGACTTGCGATAAGATCGGGGCCTTCAACACATTGATGATCACCTGCCTGGTCAACTCAGTCAGCATGCTAGCCATCTGGCCAGTCAGCACCTCGTTGGCTCCCCTGTCCGTCTTCGCTATCGTAAACGGTTGTGCGAATGGCAGCTTCTTTGTCAGTCTGCCGGTTGCTGTCACAGTCGTCGCCCCACATTCTGCAGCCGCGTCCATCGCTCTGATGGTCTTCTTCTGGACTCCGGGTTATCTTCTGGGCGCTCCCCTTGCGGGCCTGTTGATTGAAGCGACTGGTGCGGCGGACTCTACGTCGATTGGACCGTACAGGGCTGCTATCTTGTACGCTGCGGGCACGGGTGCTCTCGCTACTTTGCTTGTCCTCGTCGCACGCCTACGTTTGGACACCAAGGTTTTGAAGCGATTGTGATGAGCCCTTCTACTTAGGGGAGCAACGTTCACGTTTTCATGATTACGTCATGATCGAATCATTTTCTTCTTGCACGAGCGCAAGACAACCTCATCACAGACCATCTATGTACTGGTGTCGATACCATACAACAACTCCAATAAATGGCTTTTCACTTCTTCCTTCGCCCAACTCATCTTAATAGCGTTCTCTGCCAACTTCTGAACCTCCAAATTGGTAAAGCTGCAATACTTCTTCACCACCAGCAGATTCTCCAACACCCACGTATCCTCCATAAACGCCGGGTCGTCACTCGCAATACTGATCATGATACCTGCGTCGAAGAGCGCGCGAATACGTTTCAACACCTCGTCCATCGGTTGATGCCGAATATAACTCCAAGGACAAATCGTCATCCCAAGCCCCTTCTCTTTGATCAACGCCATAAGCTCCGCATTACCAGCAGCATTCAGCCCGTGGTCGATTCGATCCGCACCTGTGCCCGCGATACTCGATGCCACCTGCCGGATATGCTCGAGGGGATACGGCTTCCCAACATCACAATGCGCAGTAATCCGAAACCCATCCTTCCTTGCTCGTTTGAAGATATCATCAAACAGCTCAGGCGGCCTGTCCACCTCATTTGAATCAAGCCCGATACCAACAATCACATCGCGGTAAGGAAGCGCAGCCTCGTAGCGTTGCATCGCGGACTCCGGTGATTCGTCGCGCAGGAAACACATAATCCATTTGGACTTGACCTGCGTTTCGCAATCAGCAATCAGCAAAGACATGTCTCTCTCGTGGAGGGATGTCTCGGGGCGGACGTACATTAAGAACTTGCTCAGCATCCCACGTCGCCTCCCTAAACCCTTGCATCATCATCTCCCAACTCGTCCCTACACGCGTATGCCCCTGCGGATCAAAGAAGATCTCCGCATACCGCACGTTCATTTCATCAGCACGCTCATAGTACGCCATAGCAAGATCGTAGTAATCCTGCTGCGTCCTCAACACTTCAAAACCACCGTAATACGCCTCGAAGAACGATAGCGTTTCCTCTGTGTTATCCATGCGATTCCCCGTACGCGGTTTCAAGGTATCGTGGGAATCTCGCAGTTCGGCGAGTGAAGCGAAGGGTTGACCGGTTCGTGGGTTGAGGATAGTTTGGTTGTTTCGTTGTGAGAATTTCCATTTGAGATCGGCGCTTATGATTCCTTCGATGTGGACGTGCAGTTCGACTTTGGGGATTGAGGCGATGTAGGCGTCTTTTGTGGATGCGATTGTGCGGCGGAGGTCTGCTCGTGAGGCTACGGGGAGGGCGTTTTCGACGTCTGTCATTGTCGGGGTGGGTGTTTGGTTCTTGGTACTAAGTTTGGGCTTTTGAATGCGTTTTTGATGCGAGTCTTCTAATGTTGGATGCAAGGTGTAAACTGCTATATGCTTACTACTTCGTGACTCACAAGACCCTTCGGCTTATCATCGACCCGATCAAGCGAATATTAGCCTAACATGCGGGTCGGGGGAGAGTGCGTCTCGCTAGATTGCTGGCCAGCTCGTATACTCCATCTCCGATAGAAGAGTGCGGTATGGTAACGTTGTTGCGATGTGGCGCAGCGGAGGCCGATTCGAAAAGGGTGCCAAGCTTGCTGAGCTAGAACCGCGTTCGATCAATGGGAACAAGATAGTAGTTATTACAAGATATGCAAGAGAATTTGAAGATGTATTCTTCGTTTAGCATTATGTGTGTGTAGCGTTCCAACGTTAAGATAAATATATACAGTAGATTAGTCTATAATGCATCAAAGATCCGACAGCGCGCGCCCCTCGATCTACAAAGCCCAAGCAACAGCACCGAAGACAACAGCCATAACACCGCCAGCGACACGGTCAACAGCCGCAGCGCCAGTGAACTGAGGAGCGCCACTTGAAGTAGCGTTGGCAGGGCCAGTGGGTACAGCACCAGTTCCGGTAGGCACCATAGTCATAGTACCGTTAACCATATGCGGGGGCACAATACCAGAGGGCATATGTTCCATCGTGCCAGACGGCATAGGCGCCACCGAACCGGTCATGGTGCTAGCAGCAGGCATACCATCCATCGACGTCGACGACATAACAGGAAACTCGCTGGAAGGCTTGAAACCCCTGCAAAGACCGCCGCTGCAGATGTTATACGCACACTGATCATCGCTGCTGCACTCGGCGTTGAAGTTTCCGCATCGCGCCATCAGCATCGCGTTGCTAGCCCAGCACTGCACGCCGTTGGCACACTGGTCTGGCTTGACGTAGGGATTGCAGTCCGCGCCGAGAGGCAGGGAACCAGCGGGCGCGACGATGGTGGGTGAGGGCGCGGGTTGAGGGCCTTGGTTGGTGGGTGTGACGGCGCCGCTGGTGGGCATTGCTGACGCCGACGATGGGGCCGAAGATGAGGCGAGGAAGCCGTTGCAGAGGCCGTCGGACAGGTTGCACGTGTTGTAGGCGCATTGCTCGTCGCGCGTGCAGGAGGCTTGGAAGTTGCCGCAGACGGGGATGAGGCCCGAGTTTACGGCGTAGCAGTTGGCGCCGAGGGCGCAGGGCACGCCGCCGGGTGTGCAGTTTGAGCCAACGGGGATGGTGGTGCCTGTGGGGGATGCGGCGGCGGGTGTGGATGTGGTTTGCGCTGAGGCGAGGGTCGCGGCCGCGGCGATGGTGAAGATGGTGTAACGCATTTTAGTTGCTGTTGTTGTTGATGATGCTTCGTGAAGAGAGTAGTGTTGAGATACTGAAATGAACGAAGCGAGTGTCGTATGTTTGTGATGATGTGATAATGTTGTGATGGAGAAGAGAACGATGCGAACGAGAGTGAGACCATATACTCATAGTCCTCGTGTTGTTGCGCGGTTTAAGCTGTCGTACCTGGACGACGATAGTTCAGCTAGCACCTAGCGCTCGTAACCAGCCTTCCAATTCGCCACAAGGTGCCGGTTACACGGGGCTACCGCGAATGACGATGCCCAAAGAGCCGAAGCTACCTCCGCAATTGACACGCGTCCGTGCTTGAAAGCTTGAATAGAATATTTCTGGACCTTCTAGCGCTGTATAGCGTCGTCGGGATGTTGCATCTCGGCCTCGCGGAGTGGCGCCGATGGGAGCCGCAGTGGCCGCGTCGCTCCGACCGAACGTTGGCGCATTATGATCTTTCTTCGTTGGAAGTCTCGACTTCGCGACTTGTGCAGTCCACGCAATGTAAGGCGCGTCTTCTCTTCTAGGTGCTCTGGCATGCGCAATGCTCTACACAAGTGACGAGACGATTGTGAGCAAGTAAGACTTGGAGCTTGTCATCTGCACGGGCCGCCAAATTGCGGAGTTCAATGCGCTCGCCGATCATCCCAATCCTTTGGCCCACTCTCCCAGCCATCTTCCCTGAACACCAGACATCTTGGACTACCATCGTCATCAGTCCATGCTCTGAACATGCCTCCACAGTTAAAGTCTTGTACTACCGTTACTTTGCTATCAACAAGTTCTATGCCGATGATTCCGCCGGTGCCTTCATGGGTTGCGCCCCAACGGTCTCCAGCAGATCGCTGAAGCTCGCCGTCAGGCCCTGCCATCCACGTTGTTGCGCTGGAAAGCAATGAGCCCGAGAACCTTGATCTGGCAGCTGTAGTGCGAGCCGCGCACGTGCGAAGGAACGAGTCGCCGTTGCCTGTCCCTGAGAGACCCACGGCGTGGCGCGTCGACACGGGCTTCTCGTATGGCTGTGCTGGCGATGATGTAGCTGCTCGTGTCGAGGGGGATCCAAGCAAAGGTAAACAGTCGCCCAATATCCCACGTATATCGCCTCGTGATAGTTTGTCGATCGGCGAGGCGGCGCAGGCAGTAGGCTGGTACAACATCTGCGGTCCAGCAACCTTCTCGTCGTGCCACTCCTCAGCCCAGAACCCCGCACCGATGGTCGGCGTATCTCCAATGCGCCCAGGAACTTTGTTCGTCAACCCACCTGTCGATGTTGCCGTGCAGACAGTCCCGAAGCTGTCAACAACGACCGCGCCACACGTTCCAAGCGGAATGTAGTTGGCCTTTTCCCAGTCGCTCATCGCGTCTGCATTGACGCCCATCTGCGCTTTCTTCGCGTCTTCCGCAAGGCCGCGTTGATGTTCATCCCATCGCTTCTGGGTGAAGAAGTAGGTTGGGTCCACGATGTCAAGCCCCCAGTCCTTGGCAAGTCTCTCTACGAAGTCTCCGCTATATTGGCAGTGGTCGGCTGCACCACCACCGTCAGCCTCTTCGCCTTTGAGAAGCAACTCTCTCGCCAACTTGATGGGGTTCTTGGCGTGTCTGAGTAACATGCATCCGACGCCTCGTTTCTTATAGCCGTTCGAAACCATGATGCTGCATTCGAGTTCGTTCTTGCCTTCGCGCGTGAAGACGGCGCCTTTGCCGGAGTTGAACAGCGGGTCATCTTCCAGAAGCGTGACGGCGTAGGTCGCAACGTCCAGCGCTGTCGATCCTGGCTTGCGGAGAAGATCTTCTGCTTTCTCCAAGATGTTGAGAAGCGATGCGCGGTACTCATCGTAGCGATCACGGGGTATCGAGGTGCGCGTTAGGTTGCCCGCACCGCCATGGATGATGATGCGGGGCTTAACGTGAGCATCGGAGCTTATGGTCGCGGCTCGCTTTTCAGTCATGGTATCCAGATGGTAAGCCTTTTAGTAACTTGCATTCCGATGCGAAGTCAATGCTACGAAGTGGGCGTGTAGTTGCCTGGGGGCCTTGGATTCGCAGAGATAGCACTAACGCCGAAGATGATTTAGCGCGAGAATTTCCACCCCACCTGCCTCTTCTTGTCATCTCAAGCTGTGGAGCTGTTGCTCCCCCGCTATGCTTACACGAACGTGGTCCTCTCGATTTGAATCTTCTCGAAGTCTTCATCATTCTTTGCAGCCGATGCGAACATTGTTCAGTACTTGTTAGGTCTTTCGCCACCGGCTCTTGAAGCTGCACCGGGTAGAACATCTTCAGATCTCAACCACAAGCATGCGATTACTTGATACATCCACGCTACAGGTAGAGGAGTTCCTTCAAGACCAAGCGCCAGAGTATGCCATCTTGTCGCATACCTGGAGAGAGGAAGAGATCACTCTGAACGACCTACATACTGGAGCAGCACTATCGAAGAAAGGATTCGCAAAACTCACGGGCTGTTGCAAGAAAGCGAAAGAAGATGGGTTTGCATATTGCTGGATTGACACATGTTGCATCGACAAAACTTCCAGTGCAGAGCTGTCCGAGGCAATCAACTCCATGTATCAATGGTATAAAGGCGCATGTGTTTGTTATGTGCACTTGGAAGACGTGCTAGAAGACCCACAACTAGACGACTACGAAGCGTTTAACAGCTCACGTTGGTTTACGCGAGGTTGGACCCTACAGGAACTCATCGCTCCACAGGTTGTGGAGTTCTACACGGCGTCCTGGGTAGAGATCGGCACACGCAGAAGTCTCGGAGAGAGAATAACGAACATCACGGGTATCCACCATGATATGCTTATGCGTGGAGAACCCTCCTGGTTCTCGGTGGCTGTGAGGATGTTCTGGGCTTCACGCCGGGAAACCACCCGAGAAGAGGACAAAGCTTACTGCCTTCTCGGGATCTTTGGTGTAAACATGCCACTTCTGTACGGCGAAGGTGAAGGCGCCTTCTTGCGACTTCAAGAAGAGATACTCCGCACTAATGAGGATTACACTCTCTTCGCTTGGGATGTTCAGTCATTAAACGGTAGTGCTCTGGCCAGTTCGGCGCGACAATTTCGTACTTTCACGCCAAGACTCGACCGACTTATACGCAAAAACGAGCCTTACAAGACTATCCATGATTATCCTCGCGAAGCCCTGTCACGAACGTGTTTCACACATCTTGATCCACCACACGATCATTCGCCCCCGCGACTAACTAGTCGTGGTGTTCATCTTACACTCCCACTCCTGCTTCATGAAGGAACAAGATGGTACGGGGCACTTACTTTGCTAGAGCTACCGCAGCGCAAGACTTACGTCTTATGCGTAGAGTTGTTAAAAATCACTGAACATGGGAACCGATACGAGAAGGCCTGGGACCGGAAGAAGTCTAGTCTCGTGCTTCTTCCTGGGCATATTTTGCAACAATTTCGATACACCTCTATTTATATTAACCCATACGAGGGAAACCTCAAGGACATTTACCCACCAGACAACACCAACTACAGTCCACCAATAGTGCGTGTTTCGCTTGATCCAGCCTTACTACCCGACATTGCGTGTATCGCTTCCACGATGTTCAATATAAGAGCTTTTGGGACAGAGCGATTGGGCTTACG